ATGTGTTATAAGCTTCGCTTTGTCAGTAGAAAGCTGAGGAGTATAGGTTGTATTAGAAGAAATACATGTGTGTAAGTCTTAGGGGAGTTGCCTTGATTAGTAGGAGACTGGGCATGCCTTTACGTTTCTAGCAATACCCAGCTAACAGCACTTAGAAATCGCTTGGCAAGGAAAAGGTAACATGGTCATTGATGAACAGCCATATTTTAGACACGAAAGGAAGGAATGCATGTCAAGAAAATGAGCCATAAAGAGAGAAATTGGACATTTTAAGTGTAGAAGCAGGAGATTAGACCTGAGCATAATTTGAGGACACGAAAGGAGGAGCTAACAGAAGATGTTAAGCAGTGCTGGAAAGGCAAGAGGTCATGGATATAACTCCTAAGGAACGGAAGAGTCAAGGCGCACGGGGTAGGGCAGGGAGAGGGCAAAGTTCTGAGAGCATGTTTTTACCCAGACAGAAGTAAAAAGGAACAGGATCAAACTAGATGGTGACTTTTTTAAAAAACTGAGGTAAAATTCACATAACTTTCACCATTTTAGCCATTTAAAGTGTATATTTCATTGGCTTTGGGCACATTTACAAAGTTATACAACCACCAGCACTATCTAATTCCAGGACATTTTTGTCACCCCAGAAAGAGATGCCAAACCCGGTTCCGTTTCCCCCAGCCCCTGGCAGCCACTAATCTACTTTCTGTGTCTGGATTTACTTCTTCTGGGCCTTTCGTATATAAATGGAAAGTCATACAGTGTGTGGCCGTTGGTGACTGGCTGCTTTCACAAGCATAATGCTTCCAAGGTTCATCCTTGATGTAGCATGTATCAGTATTTCATTCCTTTTTATGACTAATGCACCATTGTGTGGCTGGACCACATTTTATTTGTCCATTCATCTATTGATGACATTTGGGCCATTTCCACCTTTGGCTATTGTGAATAATACTGCTGTGGACATGCATGTACGCATGTTTGTATACCATGATAAAATATAAAATGTCTCTCTTAACCCCATTCTGAGCTCTTTTTTCCTAAAATTTTAAATGCGTTTTAAATTTAAAAGTTGATTACAAATACGTTCTAAAAACCACAGTGTTAAACATTTAGAGCCATTTATTCCATTGATTTTTAAAGGATTTTTCTTTCCAAAAGTGAAATTAGATTTTTATGAAAAATTACATGTTTGAACAAATTCTCCTCTATAAAGTCATCCTGATTTTGTTCCCTGATGTTAGAAGCTAGGATTCTGCATAGTTCTTAACGTATCAAGTGATTTTCATGGGGACCTTTGCTGTTGACTTGAACTGGTAGAGACCCTGCTCTCTCTACCTAGGAGGTCCTTGCTCATTGAGGAAAGCGTTGTCCTGGTCATCTGAGGTTGAGCCTTGACACCCTGATTGATATACTAATGTAGTACTGTCTTCAGTTGCTAATTCAAAATAAACCCAGAAAAGCTTGATACTTAACCTACCATTGTGTTTCTTATTTCTGTGGAAAGTTGAAATCTGAATTTCAACTGATTTGGAAAGTGTTTTAACTAATAAATTAAGGATTATTGCTGTTGAATTACCATTTTGCTCAGCATTTGTACCTATTACTATTTTTATATGCCCAAGTCTTCTCCCTTTCAACACGCCTTTTCACACTGGTCTCTTCCCTGTCACAATAAACAAAGCTCCTTATCTGATGTTACCAAATATAATTTGACCTCCCTTTATGAGTATTTAGTAGGTGGGATATTTACCCCCATGAAAATTGACCCTGTACTCTTTGGTTTGATATACCGTTATTCCCTCTCCCACCCCAGCTCTCCAATTTCAGAATTAGAAACTGTGGACATTTTCTGTACAGTCTGAGCTTTTAAATAATGACACTGATGATAACATGCTAGTGAAAAAACCAAGGTCACACTTTTCGCAGGCTTGGTTTGTATTGCACATACTGGTCCTTTATCATCTAGAGAATGTTTCATTTCTTTAAATTTAAAACTAAAGATCTTACGGAAATTTTGTTTTAACTACAGAGTGCCCTTGCATGGTTCAGGTGACAGTCTCTTTTTTTTTTTTAGGCTTCTTGTATTAGACTTGAGCTCCTTGAGAGCAAGGGCTGAGTTATGTAAATTTTTGAAGCCCCTATGGCAGCTAGCCCAGTAGCCTACAAAGAGTAAGTACCATACCTCAGTCCCAGGTTGTTAAAATTACTTAGAGTAGTTGCTGAGACATAGATGTGAAATCCCAAGGTGAGATACCAAATATCACATGCATACATTCAAAGGAAAGGGGTAAAGATGTGTTCCATAATGCTGAGAGTGGAATGACGAGGGAAGTGCCATCTTTTTACCTGAGACCTAGAAGCCACAGGAGGGGTCACAGGTCACTCCCTAAACTAGAGATGCCCCTGCTTGGATCAAGGCCCCTAGAGGCATGAACACTTTCCACCCCTAGCGTGAATGAGTTCTCTTTAAACCTCTCCCAGACCCACAGAGCTCTGACAGTGCAAGTTCTAAAAGAAAGTTTTTCTTCCCATCTATTCCTCCTTTCTTTTGCCCCCATCTGGAAGAATTAGAAACTGACAAACTTGGTGTGCATGGCCCTGCCTAACAATCAGACAGGCATCTGATCTCTCTCCCTTCCTCACTTTAGACTTCCAGCCTAAAAAAGTCCCTAGCTGAATGAGAGAACCAGATTTTACACATATCAAGTTGGGGGGTGTGATTGAGCCCAGAGAAGGGAAGAGAATCATGAGCCTGATTAACATATAGTGCATTCGAAACACCTTTGAGCCATCTGTGAGGAGAGATGACAGGCAAGCAACTGTCTGTAGTTGGAAATTGAAGAGAAGCTTGGATGTGGATGAAATCACCTAGGGACAGTTTATAATGAAAAGAGAAAATGTAGCAAACTTGGTCTGAAGTGTGGTCCAACTCTTGATTCATATGTCAGATTGTATGTACTTTTCGAAATGTGAAAATTTTAATAGCTTTAAAGTACACAGACACAGCGTGTTTATGTCCTCTTGGTTTTCACATGAAAGTCCTCACGAGGGGATGTTTTTGCACCTAGACACAAACAGGAAGATCTAGATTTCAAGCTGGGCTGGTCGTTGCTATCATTAATTTTCCAGAACACTCAAAAATATAGGTAGGAACTTTGAAGGCTTCTTTTTCCACACAGTAGTGCTTCAGGCCCTATTACTTGTTTGGGCACAAATAGTGATTTAACTTCTTTGACAGATGTGTGTATAATTGTCTCTGTTGCAAGGAATCTGTGGAAAGTCATCTGAGTGTTCTTTCTGTCCGACGTCAGCCCCTCTTCCCTAGAAGCGTTACTTCTTTGTGTCTGTGTCTTTTGTTGTCATTTCAAAATAGCTTCAGAGTGATTTGGAGAGATTATATTTTGTTTGAAACTTGTGGTGCTTCTATGTTTGAGGAAAGCAAGTTTTGCAAGTCCATTTTGAGTGTGAAGCGTCCAAGTAAATGTTACCAAGTCAGAAAATCACCTGAGATCATTTGTAAATTAACATGCCAGAGTTCAGTGACTTAAGCTAGAAAAATTTCTCAGTGTTCTTGTAAGACAGTCCTAAATAACTCGAGTAGCTCTAATTTGCTTTCCTTACAAGTGACACTAGAGGCAGAACACACAGGACAGTATACACAGTATTTTTACTGTTGTTGTTGTTGTTGTTGAACTTACTAATTCTGATGTTTAACAAAATGAAACAGGTTTGTTTTTTCCCTTCTGTAAACTTCCATGTGCTTCCATGTATTACTAAAATCCATATTTGATTTAAAGTTAGTAATATACAATTTGCTTCTAAAGCAAAGGTAATTTGAATATTGTGCTTCAACAGAATACTAAATCACAATTTTTGAGAACTATACAGTTCTGTTGAGTTAAATATTAAGTAATAAGGCCATCTAGTGGTAAAATTTCCAAGTTTCAGTGAATTTGAGAATGATGTTTCCTTTACTAAATGTAGACTTCAGAATTTATCAGATGTGATCAGGCAATCATTGAAAAGCTTTCTAGAAAATAGTTTAACCTAAGGTATTTTCCCCTTTTTATACCAAAAAAGGCCCTTTGGTTATGTTCCTAAGATCTTTTCTACAAAGCACCAATTCAAACACATAGTATTTTTCTTGATTGTCATAATTAGAGCCACAGATAACACCTATGAATAATGCTTAAGAGACTTAATAGTAAATAAAATGGAACGTTGCAGTTTTTGTAGTTACAACCTTTTTCCAATCTGTTTGGCAACATCAGGGCCTATTTACGTGCCAGGAAGTCAGTCAGACTCAGATCCTCCCCTTGATCAAGCATATGATTATTGGTCTTTGTATTTAAATAGTTCACAAGTGTTGACCATAGTCATCCTGCTTATTGAAAATGCTGATCTGTGAGAGTAGACCCAAGATCTGCATTTCAAAGGCCTTTCAATGATTTTTTTTTTTTTTTAGGCAAAAAAAGTTTGACGATCTCACTGTATTCCATACAGAGATCATACAACAAAATCTGTTCTTCAGGACCTTAGAAAATTCTAAGTATAATTTAGTTCATATAGATAAACATTAAACATTTGTTAAGAAAGAAACAGGTAAAATCAGCTTTATGTTTACGGTTTTGCAACATGCCTCTTTCCTAAAAATAAAAGAGCAAAGAGATAAGCTGAAAACAAGCCAAAGTGTATTCTTTCCTAATTTTGCATTATTATAGTATTTAACATTATTAACACCTTTTAATAAATCAAATGTAATATCCTGGATATTTCTTACTTATCAAACAGAACTTTGCTACATATTAAAAAGGATAGTTTGATTTACATGAGCTGCCACCCAATTTTCCTCTCCAGCCTTCACTCCCTGTCCTTAAATAAGTTTCCCTGATTATTGAATTACCTGTTGAAATTAGAATATTTTTATTTGCCTCTGAAGTTACTGATAATATTCATATTAATCTGGTGCTCGGACTTTTCATTTATAAAATAATTTCTTCTCTTAGGTATTTGGAGTAGATGACAATCAGGATTATAATAGGCCTATTATCAATGAAAAACATAAAGACCTGATAAAAGATTGGGCTCTCAATTCTGCTGTGGTAGTAATAGAAGAAAGAAAGCCACTGAGTACACCTGGATTTCACAACTCAGAGGTATACATCTCTTCCTCATATGTGACTTTTACACACATGAAATGTGAATTCTTATCATTTGTAGTTATATTATTTTAAGTAACTGATATACTCCTTTGAAAATTCTTCTAAAAACTAAATTCTCACAACTGAATTTGTTTCTAATAAAAGCCTAAAACAATTTTTGCAGTAATTCGGTTTCAGTTTTTGTTATTTCTTTTAAATTATGTTACTCTGTTCATCCGTGAAGGGAAAATGTTAATTTCAGTAAGCAGTTAATGAACTCACTGCTCTGATTGGCATTATGAGATAAAAGAAAAAGTATACTCCAGTAGTACTTCCTAGGAGGGCCCGTAGTTAGAATGGAAAGATCTGTAGATCTTTCTGTCATGCCAGGAAGGATGTGCCCAGTAGTGCCTGGCAGATAGAACTTCTATACCTGAATAAGTGCCAGTGCAGTACAGCTCCCGATGTTGTTAGAATGACCTGAAGTTAGTCAAGGATGGCTTGGTTAGTAAGCTTGGGGAGTCAGCATGGGTGCAGTAGAGCTACGAAGACCTGAGCTCAGGTCCCAGAATTGCCACATTTGTCCAAGTGCCCTTGTGTCGTCGGTCACTTCCCCTCTCTTAGCTGCAGTTTTATCGTCTGTGCAGTTGGGATTTTTGATAAAACCTACTTACAGGGAGTTCAGTGAAGTATGTAAAGCACTCAGCATAGTAATTGCCTGAGATCTGTGCCCTCAACAAATGGTTATTCCCTTATTGGAAGTGATACTAGAAACTTCATTCCAGTGATATGTCAAAAATAAATGTAAAAAAAAATATGTAACTGAGAAGTATTAATTCATTATAATGTATTCAATCAGAGCTAACATCCAGTAGGAACTTTCTCGTGCCATTTTACAAATGTGGAAACTGAAATATGTAGACCAAGGTCATAAAACTAGCACCTTGTGGAGCCAGAATGTGAACCGTAAGCAGCCCTGTTTTCTTAATTCATTCTCTTACTCAGTATGCTACACCACCTCTCCAGAAATGAGTTAATTTATACAAATGGCAAATAAAACAATCACAAATGAAATGTTACCTTTGTCAGAAACATAAATAGAATATTTCTATAGACAGGGAAATCCACCTATCCGTTTATTAATGTTAAAATCGTCCCTTTATGGCGTGCCTATTCCTGAAAGCTGTTAAAGCATTTCTTGCATTTCAGTGTTCTGTTTCCTTCCTTGATCTTACAGAACTGTAATTCTGGTTTCCGTTTCATAAGATGCTTAATTTATTTACTGAAAACAAGTGATACTTATGCGAGGCAGTGTTCTGGTGTTCTGATTACCAGGAATGGTTCTGGTGACCATGAACTTTTATATAAGACTCCCTCTTCCCTTCCCCATCCCCTCAACCCATCCCAAGTGAAATTGATATATAGCCTAGTATGTACCTGCCTTGGAGAGAATCTCCGACACAGGGCATGAGAACCTCTTCACAGAACATAAGTGTGTGTGTCAGTGAAGGTGGGAGGGGCTCTGGTACTTCCTTCCTGCTGAGAAGCATGAGCAGTTAGTAGAGTCTTGAAAGGGACTTCAAGGATCCAGCAGGTTTTGGAAGCCTTAGGCTTCATTGTGTGCAAGTCACTGTATACTTCCTGCTTTAACCTATTGTGGAAGTCATTATCTGTAGCCTGTTTGAAATATTCATCAGTTTTTAGCCTGTAAATCTGATACTTAAGATAGTGTTTTGAATCATTTGTAATACAGTTTTGGTGATAGCCTTCCATTCCTTAGTTGTCATTCCAGTCTCAAAATTAAGATTTGACTTATTTTTTTTGTGAGGGAACATAATTTTTTTTCTGTACTCCCTAGGTCTTGCCTGGATTGCCCTCAAGTTACCATTCTATGTCCATAAGTCTGTAGAGCCATTTCATGAATTAAATTCCATTTCACATTTGACTATGAAAGTTCAGAGAGTACTTGCCTTAAGGCCAGATCTAGACATGTGCAGGTCTAGGCTCAGACTAAAGGCTGAGTGATTTCTAGCTTCTTCTGGAAACTGCAAAGTGTTGTAAAAAGAAGTCTAGAGCTTTGGGTTTGTTTTTGAAATCCTTGAAGACACGACCTGGCAGATTTAATGTTCCTTGAGACTCTGGAACCAGTCCGCATCCTAGAATCACGTAGAGGGCCAGAGAACAACTTAGGACTAGATCTTTAGACTCCTGCTCCAGAGACAGAAGCAGAGCCAGCCTCAGTGTGGTAGCCGTGAGGCCCTGGTGACACACCCACGTGTATCCAGCCGCAGAAAATGTTAAGCTCCAAGTATTTATTTTAGTGCCATCGTTAGTATTTAATAAGTAGAGAAAATTATACTACGTTTACAGTAACGATAAGATGTAGTTAAAAGGGGTACCTGGAGACTTTTCACTCTATATCTGAGGACATTTAATAAATGATAATATAGCAATGTGAGTTTTAAATACGGCTTCTTATGACAAGATAATGTAACTAAATAGAATTCTCTCTTGTCTAAATAGGCTATTTCGTTCCCTTATTTTCCTCCTTTAGGAAGGCACATCTTCATCAGGAAACAAACGCTGGGTTTCACAGTGGGCTAGTTTGGCTGCAAACCACACAAGACATGACCAAGAAGAAAGGATGATGGAATTATCTGCACCTGTTCCTTTAGAGAATGGTATTTTCTTCCTCTTGGTCTCTTTTTTGTGAATCAGCTTTGTAAAAAACAAGCTAAATCTATATAGTGAGAAGTAAATTAAACCTAAATAAACAAATCACATATTCTCATGCTTATTTTACATATATGATTTTATTTGCACTAATAATGCAGGTATCATTAAAATAAAACCCTAACTGAAGAGGAGAGGTAATTTGTAGATGAAATATATATATATATATATATATATATATATATATATATATTTTTTTTTATATATGACATGTAAAAATGAAAATTTTAAATTTTCTAAATTACAGTTCTAAATTACAGCATTCATTAATATCATTAATACAACAAATATTTAAATGCTACTTTGTGTATTTAAAAAACATTCAATACAGTTCAATAAAAAAGAATACACACTTAATTTACTTAATGTATCTTTTGCAAGTCTGTGTAATGTGATTTTTATTACCTTCTAGTAATATTTCTGTGAACTAAGTTTCCTTAAAACAAAAATGAAATTTTATGCCTAATGATTTTATTTTAGATTCAGTTAATTACATTCTTAAGTTAAAAACCCTCAAGGAGAATTTGCATGTGACTTTTTATGTGTATTCTTAATTTTGTTATTGTTGAAAACAAATGAAAATTTATTTTGCCCCTGGCTTATGGCACCCCAAAAATCTGGTTTAGGAATTTTGTAAACATTACTCAGCAAGGATTTGAGCAGGGTACTAGAAAAGGTATATCATTTACTTACTATAGAAATTAGAAGTAATTGATAGTATTCCCAAAAATCAAAGACTGAATGATCTGCAGATTGATTAACATAAACTGGTCACTTTTCGGGGAAACAAGGCACCCAAACAGAGAGGGTCAGAGGGGCTAGATAAACTTACCAAAGAACCCATTATAAAATTAGTAAGCATTAGCTGTAGAAGGCAAAATTCTACCCTTGTTACAAAATAAAACAAACTGCCTGGCCCTCATTATCTCATTTCTGTTTTATCATATTCTTTTTTTTTTTTTTTTAATGTTTTTTTTTATTTTTGAGAGGCAGAGCGCAAGCCGGGGAGGGGCAGGGAGGGAGACACAGGATCAGAAGCAGGCGCCAGACTCTGAGCTGTCAGCACAGAGCCTGATGCGGGACTCAAACTCACGAACCGTGAGATCATGACCTGAGCCAAAGTCGGATGCTCAACCGACTGAGCCACCCAGGTGCTCCTATTTCATCATATTCTAAATTATTTAGCTGATAAATCCACTTAAATCTTAACATATTCTTGTTACACATTCATCTTATGTGTGTTAGGAGCAGGACAGTGTGAGAAATGCTAGAAAAATAAGAAAAGATAAAACGGTTCTTACATTTTAGCTCTTCAAGTAGTATCAAGGAGCCAAGACATAATACGGTAACTTAACAATAATTGCTACAGTTGAATCAGTAAGGTTAGTAGCTATTTTCCTGCATCATACCATTACATTGCTGTGGAATTTAAATGTTAAACTTTCAGCATTATAAGGGGAAAAAAGACAGAAGCTATGTCTTAGTATCTTGTCTCCGCTTATCTCCCAAAGATTAGAATGCTTTATATGTTAATTTATATTTCCCTTTGTCAGAAATGTCCTGACTCATTCTCAATTTCTCTAACATGGAAACATCAAAGTATGTATTTTCTCTTTGGCTTCTACTTAATTGTAAAAAGAGAAAGTGATCATGTGTTTGTATATGAGGCGTTAATATGCCAGAAGACCATAATTTAAAAATCCCTCAGTGTTTAAAATTATGACAAGTCCTGTGATCTTGTTTCACATTTACATTTTTTAAAATTCTTTTAATTGGTGTTAAATTTTTTTTTTTTTTTAGAAAACCTAATAAAGGTTTGCATTTTCCGTTTTACTTAGGAAATCCAAACTTGTCATTCTTTCAGATAGATAACAGTGCGCATTAAAAGCTAAATATATTATTCTTATATAATTGGAAGTGTTTATTTAGGCCTTCTCTGTGCAATTCTGTAAAACAGCTTCTTGAGCAAAATTTCATGGGTGGAATACACCACAAAAGCAAAAATGAACACAGTGACCTTCCCTGCCGTAAAATACATTGAAAGAAAAACAGAGCAGCGGATGTAGGAGTAAGATCAGATGACCCCAGTTTTCATCTCCTAAAACTGCCTTTCTTGACTCCCCTGTTAGTAATCTTCCTGTTTTATGTCTTGGCACCGTACTTGCTTTTGAAACTACTCTGTTACCATGTTGGTATGTTTATTCAGAGTTTTCTTGTACATGAAGCCATTTCTTAACTTACACGGCAAAATCTAATTAATAGGATACTCTGTATTTGTACCTTTTTGCCCTAACACATTTATTCTTTGTGGTTTTATTTTATAGATACAGACATCAGTGAGTCTGGCATTTCAATGAGAAGTACTGGCTCAGCAACGTCCTTGGTCAGTCAGGGAGAGAGGAGGAGACGCACCCTTCCTCAGCTTCCCAGTGAAGAAAAGTCCAAGATTATAACACAGAGGTCAGAGATAGGAGAAAAACAAGACACAGAACTTCAGGAGAAAGAAGCACCCACACAGGTATACCAGAAAGATAAACAGGATGCCGACAGAGCCCTGAGCAAGATGAACAGGGCAGTGAATGGTGAGGCTGTTAAAACTGGCGGAGACCATAAAACCTTGCTTCACTTGGGCAGCTCTTCTGGGAAGGACAAAAGTGAAACTGATAAGGAAACTTCTTTGGTGAAGCAAACATTAGCTAAAATTCAGCAACAAGAACAGAAAGAACAGGCGCAGTGGACGCCTACCAAGTTGTCTTCTTCAAAAAATGTTTCGGGTCAGATAGATAGGTGCCGGGAGGAATCTTTCAAACAGGAGTCACAACCTCAAGAAAAAATTCCAGGACACTCTACAAGCAAAGGAGAAAGGGTGATACAAAATGAGGGCAAGCGAAGAAAAGCTGAGGAGGTTCTGAAAGGTCAGTCTTCAAAGGGCGGAGACAAGAAGGAATCCTCCAAGTCCTTAGTGCGACAAGGAAGCTTCACTATAGAAAAACCTAGCCCAAACATACCCATAGAACTTATCCCCCACATAAATAAGCAGACATCATCTACACCCCCTTCTTTAGCGTTGACAGCTGCCAGCAGAATACGAGAAAGAAGTGACTCTATGGATACTGATTCTAGTATGGACACAACCCTTATTCTAAAAGACACAGAAGCAGTAATGGCTTTTCTAGAAGCCAAACTGCGTGAAGATAATAAAACTGATGAAGGCCCAGATACTCCCAGTTATAATAGAGACAACTCTATTTCACCAGAATCTGATGTGGACACAGCTAGTACAATCAGTCTGGTTACTGGAGAGACTGAAAGAAAGTCAACCCAAAAGCGAAAGAGTTTCACTAGTCTCTATAAAGACAGATGTTCCACAGGTTCTCCTTCCAAAGATGTCACAAAATCGTCCTCTTCAGGTGGTAGGGAGAAAATTGAGAAGAAAACAAAAAGTCGTTCCACAGATGTAGGTTCAAGAGCAGATGGTCGCAAATTTGTACAGTCCAGTGGAAGAATAAGACAGCCTTCTGTAGACCTAACAGACGACGACCAGACCTCTAGTGTACCTCATTCTGCGATCTCTGATATTATGTCCTCTGATCAGGAAACTTACTCTTGTAAACCTCATGGAAGGACTCCACTTACCTCAACTGATGAGCATGCACATTCCAAACTGGAAGGAGGCAAAGTGACTAAATCTAAGACTTCTCCCGTCACACCTGGATCATCCAGTAAGTCAACCACTCTTCCGCGGCCACGACCCACCAGGACTTCCCTCTTGCGCAGAGCACGGCTTGGCGAAGTGTCCGACAGTGAACTGGCTGATGCTGACAAAGCATCTGTTGCCTCTGAAGTGTCCACCACCAGTTCCACGTCCAAGCCCCCCACAGGAAGGCGTAACATCTCTCGGATTGATTTATTGGCTCAGCCCCGTCGAACAAGGCTTGGCTCATTGTCGGCTCGCAGTGACTCTGAAGCAACCATCTCTAGAGGTAGTGCCTCGTCACGGACTGCAGAGGCCATCATTAGAAGCGGAGCCAGACTAGTACCTTCAGATAAATTTTCTCCTAGAATTAGAGCTAACAGTATCTCTCGACTATCAGACTCCAAGGTCAAAAGTATGACCTCAGCACATGGCTCTCCTTCAGGTAATTGGATCCAGACTTTTTATAATATTAGCATATTTCTTTTATGTTTTGGGACTCCTTTCTTTCTTTCTTTTTTTTTTTTTTTTAAATAAGTGTCTAGTATTACTTCTAAAAATATTCAACAGAGAGGTTATGCTATAAGAGGGTATTTTCTCCTATAAAAATTATTTTTGTTAGCTTAGTAAATGGAAAATTCAGACATTACACACCCTTCCAGTTAATGACCTAGAGCAAAATAGTGATTTCAAAATTAGAAGTATATGGAACCTATTTAGGAGTTTTAGTTGCCTGCTTGGCGAGGCATCTGGACCCGTGTGTCAGAATTAGAGGAGGAATGGTATCTGGTTTAAATAATAGGAATAACATTGAACTGCTAAAAGTGTGTGGCTGATTCTTAAATATCCTCACGTGATTCAAAGCCCTTAACCTGAAGAAAAGCAGTATACCTTTTATTATTCCTTTCAGGGCTAAGTGAAATAATTGCCGTTTTACCCTTTCTTTCCCATTTATTTAGAAATGTCTCATATACTTTTTTTTTTTAATTTTTTTTTTTTAACGTTTATTTATTTTTGAGACAGAGAGAGACAGAGCATGAACGGGGGAGGGTGAGAGAGAGAGGGAGACACAGAATCGGAAACAGGCTCTAGGCTCTGAGTGGTCAGCACAGAGCCCGAGGCGGGGCTCGAACTCACGGACCGCGAGATCATGACCCGAGCCGAAGTCGGACGCTTAACCGACTGAGCCACCCAGGCGCCCCTCATACACTTTTTAAGGTTCAATCTGTTTGTGGTTGGGGCAGGTGAAGACTAATCCATGGTTTATTTTAGTGGAAGAAGATGGATCCATGAGATAATCACTAAGCACATATGGGTCACACTGGGCTATAGACATGTAACTGGTTGTGAGCATTATCTCCTGAAGCCCTGTGCGATCATTGAGCTACAGTAATTAGCAGTCATCGAATGTAACAGTTCCAAAAGTTACTTCCTCCCCACGGAATTTAACTGCCTCTAGTATATTTGTCTGTACCTTCGTATTCAGAGCTGCAGCCAGTGAGAGTATGTGCATGGCCAGAGATGTGACCCAGATACTTGTATGTCTCCTGTGAGCACGGTATCATTACTTCATAATCGGCCTCACCCCTGGGTGTGGCTGGAAGGGCCAGTGTGGGGAAGCCTGCTGTTAAAAGACTTAAAAATTTCTTGTCGGCAAGCATCCAAGTGAGCTGAGTCTTGGGGGGAGAGTGAGGGGAAGGTTGGTCTGCAGTCCTATGTTCATAGTTTGGAATCTACCTCTCTGTAGCCTACAAGACCCCGAACAATGCTCCTTATTTTATTTTTTCACTTTTTATTCCTCCTCTCTCCTTCCCACTGCTGCTTGCCTCCCCTGCACTCACATCTCCCTCTCTCCCGGTCAGTGGCTGTGGTGATGATGGTCAGAACTGTGGTAGGAACGGTCGTAGGCTGAAGATAGGTAACATACAATCACGATTCCAAAAGAATGGACAGTGATTCCCTTATTAGCGCCATCTTCCTTGCTTCTGCGCTTCAGGCTTTCACTGGTGGTTCATGCAGTTGTTGCAGGTGTTTTAAAACTGACTGCTGTCTTCTGGTTTATGTTTACCTATCGTTTTCCTGTCGTTCCTTATGGCCCTACCTCTTCAATTCACATTTCCTTTGTGCTGCATTCTGTGACGCGTAGCGCGATCAGATCTCTTCTGCCACGTTGCCTGTTTGCTCACCCGTCTCTGTTTAGCACAAGAGAAGTGTTACACTTTTCTCCTGTCTTACCATGAGCCGTAACGCAAGCTGTGTGTCCCCGAGTAGCGTGGAGCAGTTCCTTCTGTACTGGTCGTCTGGTCCTTAACACGAGTGCTGTGGTTCTGCTCCTCAGTGCGTAACAGGAGGGGCTTACGTGAGATGCAAGCCAAGTACCATTACTTAAGCACGTCTAAAAAACCACTATAAGATGCCATGTCTAAAGATAAACTTTGTTTTCTGCCTTGAATCCAGAACTTGGTAAACATGCAGTTTTCTGTATGCAAAAAGTACCTTGAATTCAGTTTAATGAAATCCCCTAGGATACATTGAGGTGTGTAATGTGGACCTTCTTCATACATAACAGCAGTGTATTAAATAATTCAAACCATGGCATTCAAAGGCTGGAAGGGTTATTCACTTCAGGTAACTAAGGGCAAGATATGAAATCATGTGCCCTGTTCACACAGCTATGGCAGGAGAAGAAGTCAAGGCCTTTTCCTTCCCAGCCTCTGGCTTCTTCCACGTCTAGTCTGGCTCTCAGAAATGTCTTTATCTGCTTGCTTGCAAGCTGCCAGGGGATGGCTGGAATCTACTGGATTATTTTCAGGAGTATATACAAGGCCACTGTACTGTGTATTTGATATATTGTGCACTGTAATCTGTGTAATCCTGATTTATTGAGTTCATGTTCTGTGTTCCACCTTGTGATCCAGGATTGTTAATGCACATTCTCTCAAGATACACATTTATATCTTATTACGTCTTATCTGGAAGGACAAAGCTAGGATCTTTTAGTCAGTGATAAGGTATTAAAACAGTTACATTGGGTAGGTAATAAAACAGCAGTAAGAAAAACAGACACTTTTTTGGTCTAGTGGCTAATTGGGGTGTCTTTGATGTCATGACATTTCTATTTAAGAAAATTATAATATCTTGAATGGAAAAAGAAAATAAAAAGTCTTAGCTTTTGAAATACAATTGAAAAGAATGTAAAATCATACTGGTCAGTGTTGTATCAACTGTAAACTTTAAAGGATTTAGAAATATCTGAACCCAGAGCCTGTGATATGTCCAGATTGGCATATGTGAAAATAATTCTGTGATGTTTCAAAGTTCATATTTTAGGCCATGTCTTAAAAAGTTTTTCAAAGAAATGTATATGATAAAAACATAAGAATGGAAATATCTGATTGGAAAACAGAGTAAAAGTTCTTTTATGCTTCTTTAATTCTGATATAATTTGCTTTTAGGAAAGTTTAGTCCCCACTGTCCCCACCCCAGTTCCTTCAGTGATCCTTCATCATCAAGTTACAGTAAAATATCCAGATTTATTTTGATAAGATGCTTTTAAAACTAAGTGTGCGGAGTTATCAAAATAAAGCAGTTGGTTTGCATTATGTTTTAGGTGCACATTCTAAAAAATAGCATCATTTTAACATCCTTAGAATTTTTTTTAGACTGATTTCTCATTTTTATTCTAAACCTCAAACTTTATAGATGGTAGGAATGAAATGTTAGGCATGCATGGCTTCAGTTCTTTCTTCCTCCAGGTCAAAGAGCAATATAGCACATTGTCAGGGATCTTTTCCCCAAATGATCTTATTGCTACGTGCTTATAAACATACGTGTAAAATATGTTTGTGGTTTCGTTTCCCACGAAGATATTGTGATAGAAAGTGTGAAAATGCAGTGTTTGTTTCCTGAAATGTGTTTGTTAAGTCTGTAGTTGTGATTGCGTTTTAAGGCCAACAAAGCTTTGGTTAACAGTAAGAGAAATCTGAGCATTCACAAATGAATAATGCTAAGAACTCTTTCTCCCTTTTTAAATTCTGGATGGTATGTTTCCATAGTGAATATAGTAGTTGATTATTTCCACAAGAGGAAGTGCTGCATAATTTCATAACTAAAATAATTTTCAGGTTAGCTGTAAAATTAATTAAGCTGATCTTAGAGGTGATTTTAATCTATGTCCTATACAGCCCTTCACCGACCAAGGAGCCTCTTAGGGATTGGCATTTGAAATAGCTTCTATATCAATGTTCAATTTAATGATTTATCAGAAATGCCTTTTTATACCAGTATATTAAATAAGCCTAATGCTATACAATTAAATTTAATTCTTTATAGAATTTTACCCAAACAAAATAAAATTCAAGAAGAAGAAGTAACATTTTTCTTGATGGGTAGAAATCACAGAAATTACCATCCTATGAGAAATTGAGGCTGTTTTATAAAGAATTAGCCTAACTGGAATTGTTTTTTGTTTTTTGTTTTTTTTAAATAAAGATTTTCTGGGGTACCTGGGTGGCTCAGTCAGTTAAGCTTCTAACTGTTGATTCTGACTCAGGTCATGATCTCATGATCATGAGATGGAGCCCCTTGTCGGGCTCTGTGCTGACAGTGTGGAGCCTGCTTGGGATTCTCTCTCCCTCTCCTTCTCTCTGCCCCTTCCCTCCCCTGCTTACTTGCTCATTCTCTCTCAAAATAATAAATAAAATAAGTAGGAATTAGCAAAAGTTAAAACCATTTGAACTTTAAGTTTACTCTGCAACAACTAGCAGATGGTAGGGATTTTTTTTTTCTTTTTTCAGATAAACTGTGTTGCTGCTGTAGTTTAGAAGCAAAGATTAAGAAAGCAAAAGGTATTGAAAGAAGTTCTTTGAGAAATAACAGGTCCTGGCATGAAATCCCCTTTCCTGGTCTCTTGGCCCCCGAGTAGTGATCTACTCTTCATTGTTAATGAACAGAGTGGTGTCCAGACATAACTGAGCCCTGCTTCCTAGCACGCCCTGGAGGATAAGTTTTCCAGTGGTAAAGATAACCCTTAATCAGTTAAAGAGTTATTAATCCTATTTTCATTCCTCTGCTGTACCCTATTTTTTTTTCTCTCTCTCATTTTGCCCTCAATTTTAACAGAACAGACCTAAAAAATGTTACCTTTCAGTTTTGAAAAATATGCTCTGTCCTTATGGTTGCTTTTTTTTGTCAAGATATTACTGAACTTCACTATTCTTACCAGATAGTAAAGTAGACCTGTAAAACTAAGTGGGAGCTTTATGAATGTCATTTGAAAAAGAAATTTTTCTCTTTTATTCCTCAAATATGTAATTATTTTCTGATCTTTTTTTTTTTTTTAAAATTTTTTTTTTTTTCAACGTTTATTTATTTTTGGGACAGAGAGAGACAGAGCATGAACGGGGGAGGGGCAGAGAGAGAGGGAGACACAGAATCGGAAACAGGCTCCAGGCTCTGAGCCATCAACCCAGAGCCTGACGCGGGGCTCGAATTCACGGACCGCAAGATCTTGACCTGGCTGAAGTCGGATGCTTAACCGACTGCGCCACCCAGGCGCCCCAATTATTTTCTGATCTTGAGACTGAAACTATTAAAAGTTATTTCTAACGTGACTCTACTTACTGACACCTGACTGTCAACTGACAATCAGCACTTGGTTCTCAGTTTCCCATTCTGCCCTCCTGTATTGTCCCACTCTTGAAATATACCAGGCATTGATGCTATTCTTTCTAAGTTACCTCTGAGTTAACTAACTGAGCTCCATCATACCTACTTAGTTTACCATCTCCTACAGTTGATTGAAACTCTTTGTTAGTGGTTTTGTTTTCACTCCAAACAATTTTCCGTTGTAAGTATGGTTTGCATAGTTCCCAAATCAAAAATCAGGAAATTCAGTCTAACAAATGATCTTTTTATTATTTCTGAACTTGTTTTCTACGAATAATATTCTAAGGTACCAAAACAAATAAACATCTAACGCTTAGTGAAATGCCTTTGTTAAAATATAGCCATTTTGCAATATTTTTAGTGTTTTGCTCTTATTCCTAAACTTTTTCTAAAATTGTTTTCAAGTCTTAGGGTCAGTTCAACTCATAGGATTTTTCAGATGTCTAAAATTTAGTAATTTTCCACTATGGTAAAAGTAGTTTTATGTTAATGAATGATCTTGGTAAAACCAGAAACAGTACTGACTACCACCTTCAAAAGGCACTATGAATAATTACCTAGAGTTTTATACATGTGTTTGCATACACTTTTACAAAAAGCCGTGGAGTTTCTGCTTATCTTCTTGTACCCATGAATCTTGTTCCAAGCTCCAGGAGCTTCAAAGGGGATTGTGAATCAGGACAAATGGGTAGGCTCTGACTTAGGGCGTATTCCTGATTACAGATTTCTCTGCTTCTTAAACCAACTCTTTGGCAATATATACGAGTCAGTTTTGTCTGACAGCCACCTGAGACTTACAGAGTCCCAGACAAAAATGGGGTTTGGGGAGGAAAAGACATGAGTGCATAAAATCCTAGTGAGGTAGGATGAAGGAATTCCAGACTTCACCACGATGCAGCCTCGGGTCAGTTTCTGTTTTAAAAGAAGGAGAGAGAGAGAGAAAGAAAGAAAAACAAAACTCTTCTGATATTAATAGCAACTGGAATTTATATAGCAGGTGCTAAGTTTTTGTCCCTGTACCCACCAAAAACATCTGCTTTTCACTAGGTTTTCCCTAATTTGAGAAAAGCAAATGGCCAGTAGCTAGGAATTCACTTACTTTTTCAAAAATAATCATTAAACATTTGCTAGCCAGACACTCTGCAGAGTCCTAGGTATGCAGTAGTAGATTCCTGCCCTTGTGAAGCTTGCTGTAAATCAGCCATCATTGCCCTGTTTTTGACCTCTGTATATGCCTCACAAATTATTTGTGTGTTTGGTTCTCCATTAACAGTACTAGTGAAATTAATTTGTCTTCTGATTTTTCAGATGTGTCAACAACACCATCTTTTAAATGTCTTTCCTAACCTCAAACACGAAAGTGGTTGCCACTTTCTTTACTGTGAATATTCACAGTATCTCCTGTGCCTTAAATGTCAGTGGTTGTGAGAATAGCTTTGTAGAGCTTCGCTCCTTGTAGGTCTTACGCCATTGTCTAATTTCACTGTATGCTTTCAGTGTCAAAGCAGCCGCGAGTTGTACTGAAGATGCTTTGTTGTGTTTTTACCATGTAAAAGATTTTTTCCAATCATAGCATAACAGGATGTTGAATGACAGAGGTAATGTTTTTTTTCTGCCATAAAAGCATAATTTCCACAGCAGGAATTATGCACATTTGTATGTTGGGAAAAGAGGGTTTACCATATCCATGTTGCAAGTCCATGTGGCATGAGGAAATCTTTTCCCTTATTTCTGTTGTTGTTGTTACTGTCGTTTTCTAAAACAAAAATCCATATCGTCACTCGAATGAGAACTATTTGCAATGATAAAGTACCCAAGTTAAACATTTATGGATAGAGCTTGCTTAGTTGTTTATCATTAGTGAATTTTTCATCTGAATGTTTTATTCACCATACTATGGAAAACGTGGTCTTTCGATTGTTTTTAATTCCTCATTGTTTTTAATTCACCGAAGTATATTGTTTCTATCTTTAAGGAGTAGTAGACTTATTTTCGTGAGGTATGTGTATGTCAGTTATTGAAAGTTGTGCTGTGTGTGTCTCATGGTGTTTTTGAAATCATGATTTTTATCTCCTTTAAAAGGTAACATAATAATTCTTTTTTTAATAATTAAACTAATTTAGTAAATTCAAGATGGAGGCGCTTTCCTACTGATTATGCTTCCACCTCAGAAGATGAATTTGGATCAAACCGTAATTCCCCTAAACATACTCGTCTACGTACTTCTCCAGCCCTGAAAACCACTCGGTTGCAGAGCTCTGGGTCAGCAATGCCTACTAGTTCTTCGTTCAAGCACCGGATAAAAGAACAGGAAGACTACATCCGAGATTGGACTGCTCATCGAGAAGAGATAGCCAGGTTGGTTCTAAATGGATTATCTTTAAGAGCTGGAATTTCGTGTCCGTGTTTCAACTCGATAGCAAAAGCGTAGCTTTTATTCGATTTGTACAGATTATCCAAGGAGTGAAATCCTCAGGTAGCTGTGCACGCACTTCCATCCAGAGTGTTGCTCTCCATCCAGTTTCTCTGGGTTTGTGTGTTTAGTGCCAGTGCTACTAACATCTTGTAGAACTAATTTATTTTGCTTGCAACCCCCTTTCTTGTTTCTAGTAGAGATGCCGATGAGTTAATACCACTTTTGAAAGGTGGTATTGGCTCTACACCATTAAGAATTGTGCAGCTAAATTTTTGAGTACTTTTCCTTTTACCTTCCACTTCCAAAGAGGTAATAGTATAGTTGTTGGAGATACATGGCTCTTATTCTCTGGGGAGAATGCGAGGATGTGGATTTTTACTCACACTTTTATGAATTCGTGAGGTACAGTTGAACCCTTTATTATTTTGAATATTAAATTTGTTTATTATACCCTTTAGGTTATATGATTAAAAAGTAAAATTCATGCTGCAGATGTGATTTTTAATGAGTACCTTATCATGTTTGAACACTGAGGAGAGGCTGTACTCAAACAGATGCTATTGTAGTTAAAATATGGGTTTTGTTCATTTTGTAAGATAGTATATTTTACTGTGGTATACCGTATGTCACCTAAACGTTTCCCCGTGACACACTACAGTTGTTTCTGCCTTCAATTTAAGACCCTAAACTTCAAGTTTTACATTTGGCAACATTATTAAAGAATGTGATATGTAATAGTCCAGAGATGGTTTTTTAAAAAATAAACTCTTAACCATAATTTAATGGTGTTTTATCTTTTTTTTTTTTTTTTTTTTTTTTTTTTTTCCTTTGCTCTGTTGACTTCTGTGAATTAATGTTTTTTCTGGCTCATTACTTCAATGTAATGTCTATGGTTTTTGGTCGCTAATGACTATTGTGATTGCTTTTAATTGCTTATCATTCTTTGAGAACATGCCCTTTTAATCCCACTGTGCTTCTTAAACATTTTTATTTTACCATATAAATCGCTTTTTGGGAGACTAATCATTGAAGCATTGTAAGCCAGTTCTAGTTAGGGGACAGGCATATATGTATGTGCTTTGGGATCCCTGAGTTATTAGGAGACTACAGGACGCCTGCAGTGAGGGAGTTTCTACCTCTTTTTATTCTTGTGGGCATGGCTGGCTGGCCTCCCTTTCCTGACATCATTTCCCTTCCTGTGGAGGGGGGACCTGCTGCAGCTTAGGAGGCACCTGATGGTTCCCCTTAGGGGGCCACCTCTTTGAAATCTGGACCCCTCCTTCCGGGCCACACCCACTTCCCTGCCCCCAAACAGAAAAGATGCTGTGGAGGGGAAAGTGCAGGGGAACTGGAGGTGACACTTTCACTTGGTTCTGTCTTTATTATGTGCATTTTATTACTCCTGTCTCTTGTGTGTCTTGTTACCTGTAGCGGGACAGCTAATGGGCCAGGCCTTTTAACTTCTAATGACTTTATGCCTTTTCCCTCTGGTTTGTTAAGTAGCACTGTGTTAATAAAACTTGCCTTTGGGATTTTAATTTTTTAAGGTGTATTTTTCAGCCATATATCTGAAAGCAATGAAAGCAGATGGATTGCAAAACTCCAAATAAAATGTGTGCATCATTTTAGAATTTCCCCTCCTAGCAGATTTGATGGGGGTGGAGACTGAGAATAAGAACGAGGATTACAAATTTAAGCATTGAAAAAAGCACAGATACAAGAGATGTAAAGAAATACGTTATTATAAAATATTCCAGTGAGTGTAAACCTAGAAGCTTTTGGAATTCGTAAGCTTCGATGTAGCAACCTTATGAATAGGTCCATACTTTACACTGAATCATAAATCTATTATTTCTACTTGAAGATATTTATAACTTTGATTTTCTTGATAATTTTGCTTTTTAGAATTCCTAATGCTGGTTTTAGTAGGTGCTGAGATTTTTAAGCAATGTGGATTTAAACCAGTCTAACGGTCTGTATTACTGAGTTGACTTTCAGATACAAATTGTTGTGTAAGAAATCGCTGGCATATACACGATACACTCACAAACGAAAAGGTGGCTTTGGGGTGCTTGCCAAGTGAACAACGTATGTTGTGTATACACACATTAAGAGTTGTTCGTATTGGTACAGTTGTTACCACATGACCTGTTGACGTTGCTATTGTCTGGTTTTTTTTTACTCTTTTTTTTCTAATTAACTCCTGCTTTCTACAAATACCAGAAGCTTCATTGTACAAAAGTCTGCATACAAAACTTGAGAGCAAAAAATAGATTTTTTGGATAAGCTCATGCTTGTCTATTTTTTGTCTCATTAAGCTTGGTTATTCTGTTTTTCATCCTACTTCATTTGTTTCAGAAATGCAAAAATTGAATATATCATCTTAGAGAACACTTTAAACTCTTGCTCAGAAAATTATATCGACAGTTAACAAGCCTTTAAAAATTACATATGGAATGATTATGTGAGATATAGCATGACATAATAAAAAGATCTAGTTATACCACTTAACCATTTGTGACCTTGACCAAAAAAATGGTCACATAACTTCTCCTAAGCCTTATTTTCCTCCTCTGTAAAACAAGATGGTGAATACCTCTCCTCCTGCAGGGTGGCTGTGAGAATGAAGTCAGTTGATGAGCATAAAGCTTCTTTATAATGGTGCTCACGGGGCGCCTGAGTGGCTCAGTTGGTTAAGCGTCCAACTCTTGGTTTTGGCTCAGGTCATGATCTCACGGTTTGTGAGTTCAAGCCCCATATCAGGGGCTTGCCTGGGATCCTCTCCCTCTCTCTCTCTCTCTCTGCCCTTCCTCTGCTCTCTCTGTCTCTCAAAATAAATAAACTTTAAAAAAATTAAAAAACAAATATAATGGTGCTCACTATCAAATAGTGGCTTTGACTGTATTATAATGTAATGGTGCTCATTACAATTGTTGTAAGCTTATGAGAGCAGGGACTCTATCTGCTTCTCCATCATTATAGCCCTTAGGTCATAACACGGTTCCTGGAACATAATAAGAGACCAGAAAGTGTTTATTGGTGTTCTTCCTACCTTTTTGTATTGATAAATAAAGGAAGTGACCACAGATTGCTCTTGGTAGGCCATAAGCTTCCATTTAGCACCTTTTTTTAAAATCTGTAGTTAAATTATTATGCAATTACTGCATTCCTTGAAAGTCTTACATTTTGCTCAAGTCAAAACATGTTTTACTTTGCTTCTGCTTTCGATTTTAAAGTTGAAGAAGCTTTCATTTGAACCTTCTGTCATTTCAAAACCTTCCTTGTGGAAGTAGCCAAATTGAGTTCAGTAGATCCATAACTTAGAAATTTTTCAAGTCTCATTGAATTGAAATCTTTTTGATTAAAACAGGAATACCAGTAGTAGATTATGTAAGTTGCTCTCTTTTAAAAATAGGGAAAAATCAGTTTTTTCTTTTGCTTATCACTGGTAATACTTATTTAGTTCTTCAATCTGTGTGGCTGATGACACAAATAAATGGCTCTCCGGGAATGAGCTCTAAACCTGGAATGTGGCCCTCTGCCTTAGCTGTTTGTAAGTTGTGTTGTCATGAGCAAGCTTCTCACCTTCTCTGAGAATGTGTCCTCATTCACATTCGGTTAGAGAAGGCCTACCTCACAAGAACTGTGTGCCTCTCAAATGACCTCATGTGTACTGTGAGGTGCTGTGCATAACAGAGTGCTGTGTCGGGGTTACTAATCTCTTTGGCCACCTGGGGAAGCTTATGGATCTCTTCTCAGAACAGTGCCTCTTCTTTTTTTTTTTTTTTTTTTTTTAATGTTTTTATTTATTTTTGAGAGACAGAGACAGAGCGAGTAGGGGAGGGGCAGAGAGAGAGGGAGACATAGAATCCAAAGCAGGCTCCAGGCTCTGATCTGTCAGCATACAGCCCGATATGGGGCTCGAACTCATGAGCGGCAAGATCATGACCTGAGCTGAAGTCAGACACTTCAGCTTCAGACTGAGCCATGCAGGCGCCCCTCAGAACAGTGCTTCTAAATGCATAAACATAGGGACTCTGGGTGGCTCAGTCAGTGAAGCATCCGACTCTTGATTTTGGCTCAGGTCATGACCTCACAGTTTGTGAGTTCAAGCCCCGCATCAGGCTCTGAGCTGACAGTTGGGATCCTGCTTGGGATTCTTCCTCTGTCTCTCTGCCCTTCCCCTGCTTGTGCTCTCTCTGTCTCTCAAAATAAAATAAAATTTTAAAAACTTTAAAACTAAATAAATAAATACATAAACAGGAAATTACTTCGTTGTGTTTCAGTATGATTGCATTTCTTTGTAATGTTATCACAGTATTTTTAAAGTGACAGAGTAGTACATGGAACTTTGTTGCTGTGGGTTTAATGACCGCAGTAATCTTGAGGCAGTGATGATGAAAGGCTCTGGGACACCTATAGCAACCATACTATCTATGATTTCTGTGGGTGGAAAAAAACCCAGTATCACTAATTCCACTACTGTTTGTTACCCGAATTCTCACTGAAAGAAATGCTAAGCTTCAGGTGGAGGTTAGTGAGAATGAAGTTGTAATTGCTCCTTCTTATCCAGGTTCATGGACTCCTTGGGTTCTGTTTACCACCCCCAAGTCTAAGAGCTGTCATCTGTTAGTGCTGGTCGTTAACATGAACTGTATTTTGAAAGACGTGTCACTACTTCAGGGTGTTTAACATATTTTTCAAAGTGACGTGAAATTTAATTTTATTAATTTTTGGAATTAAAGCTTGAAAGCTTTTTTGAGTATCAAAATAGTTGATAGGATTTCCAAAGAGTCTTAAGTTTTTGGTACAGATCTTTAATTAGATGTCGAGCTTATGTAATGGATTCTATCACAAATGATTGTGTCTAGAGCTGTTGTTTAAAAGAGATTAAACTTCTTTTCTGAAACTATCACCAGGATCAGCCAGGATCTTGCCCTCATTGCTCGGGAAATCAACGACGTAGCAGGCGAGATAGACTCAGTGACATCGTCGGGCACCGCCCCCAGCACCACAGTAAGCACTGCGGCCACCACCCCGGGCTCTGCCATAGACACTAGAGAAGAGGTAGGAGATCTTCATGGACAGATGCAGAAGGTTCTTCCTTTTCTTTGTTTCTTTTGCTTTTAGCCTTTTGCTGAGTTTATTTGAGTTATACCCACCCTCCCTGTTTGCATGAAACTCTGCATTTTCCAACTTTGGTTTAAAATTTTTCTTTTTATGTTTTTGTAACAAAACTAGCAAAGGCTAACATTTGGTCTATTCCATGAAGCTGTAAAATTATTTAAAACCGGTACTTTGTCTGCCAATTACTGGTATATAGTTTCACTGGAAAATATGACTATAAATGACATCTGAAAAGCAAACTAAAATTTGATAAATGATTGTATAACACTTCCATAAAATTTGGCTATGAAAATACTTCAATTAAAAAGGCATTTTTATATGTAGCTGGCTAGTAGATGTCTCTAATAGCAAATAAAGGAAAAATTGTACAGTTTCCACTAACTTTAAATAATTCTGTTGAAAATTACACATATATGTTTAAGGATACTTTGAAAACTGAAAGATATACACACATAGATACACAAAGATATATACACATACACACCCACACACAAATACATGCATATTCAGTTTTGAAACCTTCCTGTAAGTTCTGGAATGCGAGGTAGCACGTAGAGACTATTGCCTTCCCCAAACCGGGACCTCCTGCTCTCTGGCTCTCTAACGTTGCTCCAGAGGGTGCCTTTAATGGATAATGAAAAATAAATGGTAGTCTGACATGTTGGCTCTCGATCTGGTGCAGAAATACAAGCAAAAGATTGGCATTTGAGAGAATGAATTAAAAGTTTTATTGGGACAAAGCCACATTCTTTTGTTTAATTATCTGTCTGTTTTGTGATATAATGTCAGAAATGAGTAGTTAGACACTGTATGGCTATAAAGCTGAAAGTATTTATTATCTAGCCTTTTACATGAAAAAATGCCAGCCTCTAATGTGCTTCGTTAATTTTATAAAATAATGTCATCAGTAGTAGCTCCAAATGGCTAGCCTTTTTGACAGATTCGATTTTGACAAACTCTATTAATAATCTCTTCCTTTGCTTTTTGTCACATTCCTTTTATAATCCAGTTCTTTAATGGTCATTTTTGTTGTTGTAGTTGTTGTTTTTCACCTTCATGTGTTGTCTAAGTTGGTAAATGAGCTTTTGTGAATCTGTGTAGAGTTTTGTTACCACATTGATCAATTGTAAATGTATATAAAATCATCCTCATTGGTGAAAAACAAAAGGATCTTCTTGGTGGCAAGACATACACAATTCTTCTGGTACATTTAAAACGATGAACACATTATTTCCTCAGCTATCTAACTAAATGTTACCTAACATGATAATACACTCACGCAGACCCAGTAAAATTACTCAGTCATTTCATTGAATAGACTTTCATTTTTCCTTTTTGTTTTATCTTAGAATATTGTACTAAAATTTATTCCTTCTTCAGTAAACCTGAGTTACTTTGTATTATTGGATGTGTATAATTTGCACTGTAGATGGCAGTATGTCATTTTCACTAGAATATGTAACTGCTGTAGCATTGTTAAAAGTTTACCTAAGACCAAAATACTTACTTTGTGGATTTAAAAATTGTTTCCTTTGTAAACTTAATTGGAATTTGCAATTTATGTATTTGTGAAGAAATTTGGCACCTGGATTTGGGGAAGAAAAACAAAAAACAACATAGGAAACTAAAAGAAAAAGAAACATTATTTTACATTGGTAAGGCATTGTGAGTAAAATGAACTTGTCCATCTACATGGCTCAGCTTTTTCTATTTACTATCTGTTTTACAGTTGGGGGAAATCTTATCCATGGAAGGATTGAACTTAACAAAGTTCTGTGTTTTGGATTTTAAAAATCTATGTAGATGAACATCTATTTTATTAAACAGGCACCTTTGAAGAACTTATAAAAAGAAAGAGTAATTGGTTTATTGAAGATATCATGCTTCTGTTACTACTTGAGAATGTAATAACTTCTGTCTAATAAAAAAAAATTATAATGCCAATATCGGTACTTACCCAAATTATTCTCATAAGGATATGCTTTTGTCCTATTAGTTGGTTGATCGTGTTTTTGATGAAAGCCTCAACTTCCGAAAGATCCCTCCATTAGTTCATTCTAAAACACCAGAAGGAAACAACGGTCGGTCTAATGATCCAAGACCTCAACCAACAGAGCCTCCTGATCACTTAACAATTACAAGGCGGAGAACCTGGAGCAGAGATGAAGTAAGTAAACCACAAACTTTAACAAATGTCAGAGGAAACATGTCCTGTTGTGGGAAAAGAAGGAACTGTTCAATAAATGGGGCTGGGGAAAAAAGTGCTTGCCCTTATGAATAGAGTGAAGTTTCATCTTGACATTAAATCATGTACAAAATAATCAACTACAAATGAGTTAAGTTTCTAAAGGGCAAAAGCAAAACTTTAAAACTTTAAGTTAAAAGTATAGGTAAATGTCTTTCAAAAAAAGACACAAAAAAGCTTTAAAATAAAAGACTGATAAATTAGAGTATATTGAAAGACTTTGTGAAACATGCAGTCAATGAAGGAGTAGTATACAGAATACATAAAGAAGGCCCTGCCAATCAATTAAGGCAAAAACAGTCTCCACAGAAAAATCTCCAAAAGACGTGAACAGCATTTGACTGAAAAGAAATTAACTGAAGTCTACAAAATAGAGATGTTAAACCTCATGAGTATTCAGAGAAATACATTTCAGGGCGAAAATGTGATTCTTATTCAATTGGCAATAAATTAAAAATCTTAAAATAGTAAGTATTGGAGAGCTTGGATACATAGACTCCTTTTTGTGTTGCCACTAGACGTTAAATTGGCACACTTTGGAAAAACAGTTTGACATTATTTCCTTAAGTTGAATGTAAACATGTCACATGATCCTATCACACAGTTTTACCTCTAGTACATGCTCAAGAGAAAAACCCTTTCCTATTGCCAAAAGAAGTCATGTAAAAGAATATTTATAGTACCACTATGGGCCTAACAAAAACTTGGGAACTGTCTAACTTTTTATCAGCAGAAAGAGAATGTATAAACTGGTATATTCACAAATTGAATACTTACAGAGTAATAAAAATAAATGAAGTACAGCACTATGCCACTACATGGATGAATTTTAACAGTATAACAGTAAATGAAAAAAGTAATTCTCAGAAGATATATAATGTGATTCTTTCTCATACATTTTTTAAAAATGAAAAGATATACTTAGGACAGAAATGGAAGTAACACATGATATAAAAAGGAAAGCAAGGGAATGATGAATGGAATTTAAGATACTGTTCAACTTGGGCGGAGGGCAATAGGGAAATGGGGAGGGGGAAACCATAGAAGTAGAAGTAGATTCTATCAGTCAGCTATTTCTGTATAACAAACCACAAAAATCTCACTGGCATAGAGCAGTAAGCATAAATTTATCACATACCTGTGGGTTAACTGGGACAGCTCAGCTGGACAATTGAAAGTTACAGGTTGAGGGGTGCCTGGGTGGCCCAGTCGGCTAAGTGTCAACTCAGCTCAGGTCATGATCTCGCAATTCGTGAGTTCGAGCCCCGTGTCGGGATCTGTGCTGACAGCTCAGAGCCTGGAGCCTGCTTCAGATTCTGTGTCTCCCTCTCTCTCTGCTCCTCCCCATTCTCTCTCTCTCTCTCTCTCTCTCTCAAATAAACTTTGAAATATCTTTAAAAAAAAAAAAAAGTTATAGGTTGAGTCCAGGTCTGCCCCATGTGTCTTTTATTGATTGGACGAGTGGGCTGGCTAAGGCATGTTCTTGTCGTGGTTATATCAGAAACACAAGGGAGCAAGCCCCACCATGCAGGCACACTTCACGTTCATGTTGTGTCTGCTACTGTCCCATTGGTGAAACCAAATCACACAGCTTGAGGTCAGAGGCAAGTATCCTCTTCCTATGGCATCGGGAGCAAATGGCTTATTGTTGCATTCTAGCCTTTGTTTTGGTGTTAGATTCATAAGTGCTTCTTACGTTATTCATGAGAAAGAAAGAAAAAGTGGTCCGTATTGGACTAGTGAGCTATGTCATGAATTAAGAACTGTGATTAAAGGTGCCTGGGTGTCTCAGCTGGTTAAGCAACCAACTTCAGTTCAGGTCACGATACGGTTCATGAGTTGGAGCCCCGCATCGGGCTCTGTGCTGACAGCTTGGAGCCTGAAGACTACCTCAGGTTCTGTGTTTCCCTCTCCCTCTGCCCCTCCCCCCCTCTCAAAAATAAACATAAAAATTTTTTTAAAAAGAATTGTGATTAATTCTATGTACTTGTGAACCAATGCAGATAAAAATTATTTAAGTAAATGTGGCAGTGACAAATCAAGTAAAGAGAGGTTTATTGGAAAGGTTTATGATAATGGAAATTAGATGAAATGAGCTTGGGAAAAATTCAAGGATATAGTTTGGTTTATTCACCAAAAACTGGCTATTTCAAATGGCACCATGGAACGAGCTATTTGAAGGACGACATGCAGGGGTGGTACAGGTAAAAAGCCTTAGGGCATGGGTAGGAGAAGATTGTAGAAAGCAGCAGTGGGCAAAAAGGGTTTGGTCATAGGCTGGCATCCTGTGCATCCCTGGATTTAAGGAACAGGAGCTAAAAGTATGTAAGAATGTGTATGTTTGCATAATACTAAGTAGAAAAAAATGTCCCAATGGGAAAGCACACAGCTAGCTCCATGGCTGCCACTGCACTATATACTAGATGCTTTTGTTTGTTTGGTTTATTTTTATTTACTTATCTATTTTTTGTGAGAGAGAGGGTGGCGAAAGTGAGCAGGGGGCAGAGAGAGAGAATCCCATGAGGGGCAGAATGAGGGAGAGAGAGAAAGAAGCAGGGCTCACCCGAAGTGGGGCTCATGTTTTTACCCGAAGCGGGGCTCACCTGAAGCGGGGCTCAAGCTCACCCAATTGTGGGACTCGAACTCAGAAACCCTGAGATCATGACCTGAGCCAAAGTCAGGCGCTTAACTACTGAGCCACCCAGGTGCCCTATTCTAGATGCTTTTAACACACACTCCCTGCCCTGGCCTAAGTGATACATGTCTTCCACTCTTGTTTTGGCTTGTTTTCTCAAGGCTCTCAAAATCATGTTTATGTAGCCTTATTACTGCCTGTATGTTGCTGATCACATCCTAAGTAACTTTTTATCCCCCACTGACTTGTCAACCCTTATCCCCCAACCCTTGTCATTCTCGGGTTCTCATTTTCCATGGTGCCTTCCTTACTTCTGCCTCCTTTCACTGAACTCCTTTCATTAGAATTTGCCTCGCACCAATTCACAAAAGTTAGCACTTAATGTTCTTTTTGATAAAATATTTAACAGTATTTCCTAGGTACTTTTAACTCCCACACTGCTCTTTAAAGCTTCTTAACCTCCAAGGCCATATCTTATTTTTTGGATTGTCTTGCAGAGTCTAAATACAGTTTTGACATACAAGGAGGTGATTTGGGAACCCACATCTAGCCCCAAGTTCAGTCCTTTTTCTCGCTTCTGGAGACCAAATCCAGCCTGCCACCTGTTTTTATAAATAAAGCGGTATCTCAGCACAGCCATGCCTGCTCGTTTGTGTGTTACCTATAGCTGCTTTCATAGCACTGAGTTTGGTAATAGTTGTAACTGAGACCAGATGACCTGAAACCTTCACTCTCTGGCCTTTTACAGAAGTTTGCCAAGCCCTAGTTTTGCCCATAAGTTTCAAGTAGGGTGGTATCAACCTCCATAATAAAAACTTACTCTTTTGAGTAAATTTTTTTTTTAACATTTATTCATTTTTGAGAGAGAGACAGACAGACAGAACCTGAAGCAGGCTCCAGGCTCTAAGCTGTCAGCACAGAGCCCAACGCAGGGCTCAAACTCCTGGACTGAGAGATCATGACCTGAGCTGAAGTCAGACGCTTAACCAACTGAGCCATGCGCCCCTCTTTTGAGTAAATTTTTAAAAATTATCTCTCCCACTAGACTCTGCTCCAAAGAGCAGGATTGTAACCTTCTTCATCTCTACATTCATATTATTTGGTGAAAGAATAGATAATAAACTTAGCATTCTAAATTATTTGTATTTTCTCTTTTATTATCATTTGATTTGGAGGCATGAGAGAGAGGATCATGATAGTCATTGAAGATAAGATAATACAGATTGGTTTTTAAAAGTGGTGTGGACCAAAATAACATGGAACCTTGACAAGTTTTTTTTAAAAAAGGAACTCCTTTGTTGATATTTATTTCTCTTTCTCAATTTAGTTATATAGTTTAGTTATACAGTTTAATTCTAATTATATTCTTCATTGACCTTTTATTAAAATTAGCATACATACTAAATGCCCCCAAACATAGTGGGCTGTGACTGGTGTTCTCAATGGTTTCGCAATACAGTGGTAATATTTTAATATAATTTCTTTGGATGTTTCAGGTCATGGGAGATAATCTGCTGCTGTCATCCGTCTTTCAGTTTTCTAGGAAGATAAGACAGTCTATAGATAAAACAGCTGGAAAGATCAGGTACTGTTCTGTCACTGGAACCTCCCGGCTTCCATTATTAACAGACACGTGTTCCACTTTGTGCGAGCCTGCTCCCCCCACAGCTAGTAGGAGCTAGTGAAGCCGGTGGCACTGAGTCTTCCTGCTGCCAGTGTCCCATTCCTTGTCTTTTGTAGGTGTAAGTAACAGCCATAAGCTAGATCACATGCAGGGGGCAAAAAGGGAAAGAAATGTCCTAAATAATCAGCCCTTTGTAATTGAGAGTTAACAGCTCTAATTACTTAGGTTAACTTTATTAATAACCAGGAACAGCTTACTCCTCCACAAAATAATAGGTAAGTATTTAACAGACCTTTGGGGTTGGCTTTTATAAGACCTGAAAGTTGAGTCTAATTTCATCTTCCTCATCAGTAAAGAGGACAGTATTGCATAATTTTATAAGACTCAGAATACCTGGTTACTTGTCTGCCTTGTGTACTCAATTATGAGGGCATCAAAACAGTACAGGACAAATAATATGCAGTCAAAAATCATTCAGTCTGATGAGATTTGGAGATTTTGTTCCCATATAAGATTATTTTTATCAATATTTATTTCATTTATTTATCCCTTTGCTTCATTATCCTTCCAGTATGTCCTAGTTCTAGAATATAATTTTAGTGGAATTAAATTCAGAATAACAATGTTACCACCTTCAACTACAGTGAGTACTTGAGCCAAACTTGAGGCATGACTCCTGGTATTAGGCAGGCACGATTGTTAGTTCGTGTGTAATAACTAATTGGTTAGGCTTAAAATTTTTTTCCCTACAAATTTCAATTGGTTGGACTTAATTTGTCCAGCTGCATGTTGTACTGGCAACTCCTAGGATGATGGGCTGTTGTGGTGAAGGAGAGCACTGTGACTTTTCAGAGAAGGTGGTGGGACCAGCACACTTGGAAGTGATGTAGCTACTGGGGGACACATACACATACCTCACCTAAGATGATACCAAGGGTGCGGATTGCTTAGTCACTGAGTATGATTAAAAGAAAAACAGTGGGCTCACTTATAAGCCAAATCAGAAATCACAGAATGTGTTATTTATAAATAACATGCAACTAATTTGATTTCTTTTCAATCAAATACAAACCTTAAAATGGACACATTTTCCTAATTTAGAAAGGACCCAATTAAATTATATTGTCTTTGTACTTTTTATTCTGTATAACTAGTGATTTTAATAATAAAAAGGAAAAAGGGGTGATTGGGCTTGGTTGGTATAGAAGTTGTGAATAGTAAAATCAGATAATTAAAGCAAAATAATGAAGACAAATCACATGGAGATAGCAGGAAAAGCTAACTTTGTTTAAGTGGATATGCTCAGTAAGTGAGCTAATGTGTAAATCCCATGAGAGCAGTGGTCTTCGTCCAATTATAAAGTACCTAGAATATACTATGTAACTATTTGTTCATGAGTGAATATTAAATTATTACTTTATAGGAAGTTCAGTTTACTTAAAATTTATAGGAAGATGTGAAAATTGATACGGGTAAATTATCTTGGAAAAAAAAAAAAACATGGATGGCAGCATAATGGTAGTCATTAAAATAACTATTTAAATTAGTGAGATGTACAAGGTACTCCTTAAGAAAAGCCAAACATGCAGTCAGTGTGAAGGTAATATGCCTCGTGTTTCAACTGTATTTGGAGACGCTGTTGATATACTTCTCTGAGAACTCTTTTGTAAAGGTAAAGGTATTAAGTGAAAAGACCAAGGTATAGAAGAGTAAATATATTATGAGGCCTAAACCTTTAAGAAGTAAACCTGGAGGGAAGAATTATATGTATATGAACATTCACATACACACATAATAGGTGTTACATATAATATGTATGCTTTTTTCTGAAATATTTGTATTTTTAACCATGTTCTGTATTACTTTTGTTAAAAAAAAATCTAAAAAGTAAAAAATAAGACAAGACAATGTAGATTACATTATCCTTTTTAACCTAAGGAGAATTTAATATTTTTTTACAAGGCAATACAGTGAAGAGATAAACTGGTACATTTTTAAGGGATATCAAGATAAGGGCTCAAGGTATAAAAGAAGGCTCAAGGTATAAAAACTATGTAAAAATACTTCAGAAATTCATTGATGCTGTGGCTTAATTTCTGATTCCTATAAATAAAATTTTAAGATATAATGAAACCATGTCTGAATATGGTTTGTGAATTACAATATTGCACACAATCTTATATTGCTTGTATGTTGAAATAATACATTTCATCAGTGTTTGATAAGTACCTAATGATGGTAAAAACACATTGAACACCGTGTTATTGAATTGCAAGGCTAACTATCTAGTTTAAGAGAAATCATTTAGATAATTTTTTTCTAAAACTCTTCCAGAAGTACCTTTTTAAAATATTGTGTTTAAGGTGTTCTTTTAAAAACACAACCATTTTAACATATGTTTTAAGCTACTGTAAAGGCAGTTTGCTTTCTCTTCCAGTAAATTTAGAAGGATGACCCATATAACTAAATTTTGCATGGTGTTAGATGGTCAAAACCTGGGTGAAGTAAGAGGACCGGGGGCGATGAGAGATGACCCTGGAGAGGTAAGGGAGGGTCCATGTAGGTTGAATTTGTTCAGGAGTTTGGACTTTACCATAAAAAACCATGGAAAGCTAATACCTTAATAGGGTCCTCTCAATAGCCAACGTTACCATAAAAGTACATGTAGGTCTCATCATGTGGTCATGCGACCTACCAGCAGGAAAACTCTGAAGTCTTCTCACCTGTAAATGGAGATCCCTTTTTATTTCATCCCACCTATTGAAATACAAGTCGTCCTCCACAGTAACTGGGTCCCCATTCACTCATGTATTCATTCAGTAGATTTTCATCATGTCCCTGACTGATACCATTCTCTCTTCCTGTTGACTGTTGCTTCCTACCAAGTATCTTTCTCAGTCTGCACTGAACTCCTCCCTAGTTTCCTCCAAAGAAAACTACTTTTTGTAGCTTTAGCATTTAATTAAAATTGAGACCAAAAAACACATTCATTCATTGGTTGATTGATCTTACTGTCAGAAACTTGACAGAATTTAAAAAGGTTAAATACGTAAAAATGCCTCAATCAAGTTTGATATTGTTGCCTTCAGTGTGAGCATTGAATTGTACCATGTGTTGTAAAGCACTATGGCGGGCTCTGTGGAAGATCATAAAGAGGATAAAACCTCATCCCTACCCTTACGGGGTTTACAATCTGATCAGCAAGGTGAAGCATATACACACTTAACTATTGTACAGGGTAGCATGTGGTAGATTGGTGCCCACTTATAGATAAAGACAAAGAAAGGATCACTTTCATTCAGGACAATGAAGGAAGGCTTTATGGAAGGTAGTATTCAAAGATAGGTATAATTTTTAATAAGCAGATCTAAGGGAGAGAGCCTGAACCTTTTGTGTGGAGTACCAGGCAGTTTGGAGAATGACTGGTCTTTAACTTTTATGCCAGGAGTTATAAACTCAAATGCCTACCTGGGCCTAACAATATACACCTATTTAAATTGCCCCAATGCTTTCTATGGGCACGGCTGAAAATATTTATGCAAAAACCGTTTTACAGAGTTCTCACAGTATTCCATGTGAAAAGGACCCCCTCAAGCTGCGTAGCATGGCCCTGTGTTGGTAGACTACCAGTTTGTAACCCTAATTTGCATGGATTAAGGGCACTAGAGAATAGACAGTGAAAGTCGTAGAGTATGAACCAGAGACTTTATTCTAAAGCCAACTGCCTTATCAAAGAAAGGTTTTTTAGGTTAATAGTTAAATTATTGAATGAAATTATCCTTGGAATTTAATGTGTTCCCATGGTGACATTTAGTGTACCATTTTGAATCTGTAATGTAATACGAAGATCACTCAAAAGCTATGAATTTTTTCCTGATAGATCTGTAATGACCTTTAAACAAAGACAGTTCTAACCAGTATGACCTAGTCTAAAGTAATGTCTCGATCTAGTTTTCTGCTTCCTTAGATTTAAATACTGTATTAGAGTTCACTTCCTAAAGCCAAAATGGTACGTTTGGCTTCTTAAGTCCATACCGCAATATTTACAGATTATCTTTAAAGTAAGTTTTTCATCCCTTCAGTACTTAAAGCTCTGGAGGAGCTCCAGCTTTTCTGGAGTCAGGGACCTCAGGTGACCATTCTAAGCCATTTTCAAAAAAGCAGAGGTGAACTATGTACCATTTAACAGTTTGAGAAGCCCAAGCATTATACCCAGTAACCATCTTCTGGCAAAATTCACTAAATTTTTAGCACGCTGTAGCTAAGCACGGACTTGCTCTATTATACGAGTCCGTTGCAGTTCTCCATTGGTCCATGAAACAGTCACTGTTTTCTTCCCGCCAGTCCTAATGCTGCAACGACTCTTTTACAAATATCCCATAATTTCCATAAGTGCCCTAATTATCTTAGTATTATGAAAACAGCTCTTAGACAGCTGGCAAGGACATTTATTAGCCTTTCAGGTTTAGAAAATTTATCAGTTTCTAGAATCATTATTGCCCTTTTAAGAATGGTGATGCATAATTATAGATGTTCCAGACTTGATTTGATGTTGATGAATTTCATGTTTGCCAAAAGTAAGTTGTACTTGCCATATTGATCTTTGAAGAAATACAAATAATATAATTTAGTTTACTACTTAAAAACTTATCAGCTTCCAGTAGTAATAATTTATTTACTTGTACACTGGTGATGTTTATATAAAGTCAGTTAAACTAGATTTCCAGGCTCAACAAAGAAATCTTAGAAGGAAACCAGAAAGGTGCCTATTATTTATGTCTCTCTAAAGCTGCTGAGTCCTCTCTCAAAGATTCCAAAGTATTTGGGAGAGAAGGACACCACTTTTGAAAGACAAAACTTTGTGGTACTTTTTTTTAATAAGTTAAGATATTTAATAAGTTAAGATACTGAGTTAAAGTATTTAGTTCCTAATGTAAGGATAATTATCTGTGTGGCAGTTGTTTTTATCAGAAGGATAGTGTCTTACTCTAATTGGTTAATCATATACAAATCTAACCTGAATTAAGATTTTTAAAGAAAAGCACAGTAAGTACTCCAATTTTCAGCCTTTAAAATAATGTTCACACTTTAATCAGTTGGAAATTCTTCATACCTAATTCGGTCTGTGTTCATCTTAATTTCTTCTTAGGTTTATACTGCACACATTCTTTCTGAACCAAGTTGTGCTAATTTGATAAGTGGTCATTTTATGGTTAATTACAAATGTTAGGTAAAAACAATTTAGAGGTGGTGTCATCAACATTTGTTGTATATTTGGTTTTCAGTAACGAATGTGATAAATGTGAAAGGATGTATGTGTGTATTCACAACCACACACTTGCTTTTTTTGATACAGATTTCTCACATAAATGAGCTAATTGGTAATATTGGCTTAGTAGTTTATTTGCGGTTTTTGTTTAGTGGTTTCTTTATCCTCGTGTAGCTTTGACTGTTAAACATATGACAGATTTTTAAAACATGAAAAGTAAAATGTTTATGTTTTTTTGATTTCTAGAATATTATTTAAAGATAAGGATCGGAATTGGGATGAAATAGAAAGCAAGTTAAGAGCTGAGAGTGAAGTCCCGATTGTGAAAACCTCAAGCATGGTATGGGAATTCTGCTTGAATATTAAAACATTTTAATAGGTTTAAGGGAATGATATGCTTACTTTTGAAGTGCTTGTTGATTTATGGTTTTAAATAGATACAAATACCCAGATTTGGGAAATTTTACACCTTCAGCTGTCTGTCATAGGGTCTTAAAATGTTGATTGCTTCAAAGCTGCAGACAGTATGAAGGAGGAACTTTGTGTTTCTTGCTAATACATTCTTTTTGTTGTAACAATTATATGTTATAAATAGGCGATTTGAAATAGGGGCCAAACTTAAACAGAAGTTGACATGAATCATTTACTCAGTAGATTGCTTATCTCCTCCTTAAGAATTTGTACAGGTTTTCATTGTCAGAGAGTCTTACTAAAACTAAGGTTGCAGTTCATGCATTTTTCAAAGAAAATCCTTAACGCAGTTTTACAAAGTTGTTGTAAGGTTGATCAATGCAAGTTTTTCAAAGTCTTTGCTTATTACAGTAGTATTATCTTGAACTTTTCATCTTTTACCATTATCTCATTCAAAAAATAATTCTTGTTAAACATTAAAGATTATAAAATTTGCATCTTGTTTATGGGATATCATAATCATTTCCTGTCTTATTGCTGCAGATGTCGTGCCATGTAGATGTTAAATATTCCAAATAAGAGGAGTGTGAGATTTGTTGCTATTCAAATAAAAATGCTTTCCTTACAGTAAGCTAATTTTTGTCATTGCTCTCCCTACAGGAGATTTCTTCTATCTTACAAGAGCTGAAAAGAGTTGAAAAGCAGCTACAAGGTACATTTACTACTGAATTAAGTAGGAAGAGCTAATGATTTCAAACAAGTACATTCTAAGATGCCACTTTAGAATGTGGTATCTCTTAAAATATTCTTACTGTATTATAATGTGATTTGGTTAAATGTAGTAACGCATGGATATATAGTTCTACATATCCAAATTACTCATAAAAAGGAAGTTTTAAAATCCAGTATAAATAAAAAGGTAAAGTTAAATCTTGGGTATGTGGGCTAGTTGTTGTAGATGAAGTCATAGTATTCTATATATTATCTATTTTACTTGTATATAAATACAAATACATAAAAAAATATGTAAAATAGTGTATTAAAATGTGTGTGAGCAACTCAGAATCCTTATTGACAGTTGATATTATTTATCTGATTTGACATTTCTTAAGTTATATTTATGATGTCACCCCAAATGAGTTTGTATTCTAAAATGAGTGATAGTTGTTTGGATGAACCACAAGAAGAGAGTGCATCTTGGCCAAAGGGGCTGGAAAAGGAGAGAGAGAAGAAAGAGAAAGGGACTCTGTTTGCCTCCTGAACATTGACAGGGCCATTGTTTGGGTATGTGGCACATCTTACTCAGGCACTAATGCCTGTGTGTGTCTTGAGCTAGAATCTGCAGCGATAGAACAAATAGCTTCCAGAGTTAACTGCTAATTCTACTCAGTCTTTGTTGCTTGAATTACCATGGGCATTATTTGTTGGCCGTAGCTCAGTGATTGTTAACATCCAGTCAGCTTCCACACCCCGAAGGGTTATGTGTTCTGCTCCCATGGGGAAAAGTGTCTTGCTAATAACACAGCGACTGTTAGCTGGTAGAATGGAAGTATACTTTGAAAAGGACCTCTGAGTGATTCTTACATTAGAGGTACTTCCTTCTGCCAACTCCCCCCTCTGCCCAACGCCAAGTTGGAAATCACTCCCTAAGAGTTTTCCTCATCCACTCAAGGATCTTTTGGAATGAAAGCCCCTCCCATGCAGTAGCCAGGTCTGTGCGGCTCGCAGGTGCCGCCATGGGATATTAGTAGAGAGGTTCTGAGGGTGTCCCTGAGGCCCAGTGGCACATACACACATGCACACGGCTGATGGCCCCACATCCTTACCCAAGAAAAGGGACAACATGCTTATGGTAGCATTCAAAGTGTGAGGATGTTCTCTCGGGCCTCCCCAACCTTCCAGTTACTCTGAACCCCATCTTAGCAATGAATCCCCAGTTATCCAAGTAGTAATACATCTAGGAGTGCTTATTAAAACCACAACCAGTATTATCCCTATCCTCTTGCAATGATGAGCAGATTTCAAAAAGATCTTTCTTAAATTCCACATCTTCAAATCTCAGTCTTCCAACAGACTCCAGAAGGCCCATGTGTGAGCCTGTTCAGGGCACCAGAGAAAGCAATCAGGTCGGTATAATCTCCAATGTAGATCAGCCCCAGAATTATCACAAATGGGTTTAAAATACAGTATCAAGAGGATTAAGCAAATTTTAAGATCATACAACCATCAGTAGTTGAAGTATTATCCGAGTCATGAGCAGTGTTCACGTCCAAATTTAACTGCATCTGCAATTCTCTTTTTTTCCCTGTGTTCCTTTTTTTTTTTCCCCTTCAGCAATCAATGCTATGATTGACCCAGATGGAACTCTGGAGGCTTTGAACAACATGGGATTCCCCAGTGCTATCTTGCCGTCTCCACCAAAGCAGAAGTCAAGTCCTGTGAATGACCACGGCAGCCCGGGTCAGACACCGACACTTTGCCAACCAGAAGCTAGGGTACTCCACCCTGCCGCTATCCCTGTGTCGGCCGAATTTGAGAATGCTGAGTCTGAGGCTGATTTCAGTATACATTTCAATAGGTTCAACCCTGATGGGGAAGAGGAAGACGTTACAGTACATGAATGACTTTCTCTCGGTTGTTAAAAATAATTACCTGTGGATTGACTAGGAATATTGGCAGCAGCGTAGTGTTGACTTACACAAAACAAGACAGCTTGGTCAGCTACAATCTTGTTATCTCTGTCTTCTTAATTTTATTTATTTATTTTTTACCTGTGACGTGGCATCCTATTAATCCTTGCAGACCATTAGCGAACCACTTGATGCACACGTAGGCAAAAGCAGATTGTGGCAGTGTTGCCTTTTGTGGTTTTATGATTTTCAAATTGAATTCTGTAATTGCATCCTTTCCCTTCATAGATCTTTGTTTTTTTTCTTTAAGCCATGCTGTGACCTACAAGCAAATTAAATACCCAACATTTCTGACCCCCATGTCTTCTGTGCCAAGCTGCTCCCTGAAATGGACTTCTTCTTCATCTGTACAGATTTGTTAAACACTTATATTTGCTTCTTAATAATAGGATTTATATTAGTATTCATTACCATTGGATACAATGACCTGTTACTCTCCACAGTCAAACTGACCTTTCAAAATAGTCCTTCTTGTGTTCTGAAATTTTCCAGCATCTATGTGATTTATATAACCTTGTTGCTACGTAAATTGTCTTGGGGTTTACGGAGATGAACTATTATGTTTGCACTAAGATTTGCCGGGAGTGCTAGGTGGACATAGCTATATATCAATAAGGACTAACTGTCTTTTTTGTACATAGGAGATTGACAATACTGTATTTGTTTTAACCCCTCAGTGTTTTACTCCACTTTCAAAAAGCTTAATCTGGCACTTTTTTTTCAATTTTTTTTAACGGAAGTAAGATTTTGTCTCATTTTAGGGCAAATGATAACTAGAAAGATTAAACTGGACTGCTTAGGTGGAGTATATTTTTTAATCTGACAACACGTATATTGGTCCTGTGTTACCAAGTTTATATGTGACAGTCGAAAAAAAATTCCCTTGAAATGATCATGAAGTTAAAATTTTCTTCATTAGGAGACTTGGAGAGCCAGTAGTCATAAGATTAGCTGATAGTTTCACTCCCAAGCAATGAATTGCTTCTGTGTGTTTCCCTGTAGGACCCAGTAGTAAATCCTGTCCGTCTTATACATTTGTAAGGACCCTGCAGGACAGCAACGATGAAGGCTCGGGCCTGTGCTACTGAACAGGAAGCCTGTGACAGATACCTTCTGTAAACTTGTCTTTTCTCTTTCCAGTAAGTTTACATTTGGTTAAGTTTTAAAAGAAAGTAATTACCTTTGTGTTTCCAGAACACTATAATTTGGGTGAATCTTATGAATTCATTTAAATATTACTAGCAGACTTGGATTTTCCCCTTGACCCCATCAGTCTATAAAGGTTAAAACTGCAACTTTTGCACCTTGTACGAAATGGTCTTTAATATTTAGCAATAATCCTGTACTACATTTGTTTCAAGAAACAAACTAAGTCCATGCACTTCAAAAACCTTACAAGATTTAAAAACTCCTGTACTGTTAGGCCAGTTAATGAAGATGCAAAAAAAAGAAAAAAAAAAAAGCCTTTTGTAGAGATGTAAAAACAGAAGTCTGTTGTATAATGAATCTCATATTTTTCTTTAAATTAAAAAACACGGTAAATGAACTATTCTCCTTGTAAAGCTAACTTCTCCATTCTGTCTGATAAAGGAAGACTGAAGAGAAGGTTTTAAAGAACATGAATGGAATGATACAAATGCTTTGAAGGAATAAGTGAAACATTAAAACAGGGTCAATATCCATTTGAAGAAAAAGTCGAACACAATAATCACACCATTGTTCCCTCTTTTATTTAATGTTTGGGTACTGATTATACCCCCGTGGAAGTGGAAGGTAAGGAGTTGTCAAGGAAAATATTAGCATCTACTCTACTTAGTTATCCTTTTAAGTGTTTACACGGTTTTGTTCACTTATAAACATTTGGCCTTTTACTATGTTATTTTTATTTTGTATGAATACATTATCCTCCTTATTTATTTTTGTTACATTTATTACTTATGTTATTTTGTTATGCATTTACAACTCCATTTTTAAATAAAGTGTTTCTGGAACTTTACACAATGATTGTACATTTTATTCTACCATCTGAATTGCTAATACTTCATCAGTTTATCAAGTAACTATTTTCCAAGGCTTAGCAAAACAAAAAATCCTTCAGTTCTAGTTAACATGTCATAATTGTGAGGCTTCATAGTATTTTGACTAAGGAAGAAAAATTTTTCTTGGCTGATCTCTGTAAACCTGATTCTCTTAGCTTAATACTCCTAATGTAATGTGCACACACAAGGCCTTTATTTTTAACTGGCCTAGAATCAGTCTTCAGAAGGTTCTATGACAGTGATCTATTTGGGGAACAAAGAAGAAATTTCAGATATCTTGGACATCCTAAATTTGAGAACTGTCCATTTGGATTCATTTTCTCTCCCCATACCGTCCACACCCAAGAATCTCAACTGTCTCCCTCTTACCGTTCAACATTGTTTCTCAGCTTGACCTTTGGAGGCTTTGCACGATCTGGTCCTTTTCTTTCGTGTCTGTGTGCACCTGATACAGACTCTCCCACTAGCTCCTGACAGTCAAGCTCCTTCACTGCTCTGTGCATGTAGCTTCCCTTTGTCCTTCCTTCCTGCTGCCCCATATCCTCTGTCTTCTTCTTCATGAAGCTTCCCTGACTTGACTGGGCCACAGTACAGGGCTGTGCCACGTACTTGCATTTTTCTCTTCCCTTTCCCCACTGTATATGCGTGTTTCTTCCTTCCAAATCACCAAACTAATCTTTACTTCCTGAATAGACCCTGTACGTTCAAGTATCTGTGCCATTTGCCTCCTTCATCTGTCCTTGAGTTTGCTTGCCATATCTCTGCCTGACCAGACCCTAACTTTTGAAAGGAAACTAGACTTAGAAGCATGGCATCCAGACCCATCCCTCAGTAGCTAAAATGTGTTTCTCTCCTTTTGATCTGCAGAACGAGAGCATCATGGTCATTCTCCACGTCCCTGCCAGTCCACGTGGTCTGTGACTGTGAAATGGTTCCCCTTCCTCTTTTCCTCCAGAGCGCCTTCTCAGATTCCTTGTTCTAGAAAACCTTCCTTTCACCATGTTGTCGTAACCTCTTCTCTGCTAGAGCCCAAATCACAGATCTGTTCAACAAATAGGTACTGAGTGCCTAACACTTACCTTAAATATACCCTCACAGGCCTTCTGTTCTAGAATAGGGTGACAGAAAATAGAAACTAAAAATTAAGCACATTGATCATGTCAGATGGAAAGATTACATCCTGCGTCTTCCTCCCAGTGAGTTGTTTACATGCCTGTCTCCTAAAAGGTGTTTTCTATAGGCTCCTCTCTAGAAATACACATTTGCTGCAGAACCCGTCACCCTTTAGGAAGTAAGTGGTCTGCTAGGACTGTCTCTCATCTGAAGGAGGAACAACATCCCTGCAGGACACCAGGTGCTGGCCGTGCTGCAAGAAAGTAAGTGTGGGAGTTAAGATGTGACCCTGGGTCTGACTGATTGCTCCAGTCCTCTTTGTTTTCTGTCATGAAGACACAAGAGAGTCGAGTCTCAGTGGTGTTAGAAATCCTGCAACTAAACTTACTGTAGTTTTGGCTTACGGCAAGCGATTTCAACTCCAGCCTGTTTCGTTATCTGTGAAGAGAGGGGGAGGGGGGTGGTGGTCGGCTAGCCAGCCGGTCTCTGAGCTATCTTCCTGCTGTATTAGTTTTTATTCTCTGACCTTCAGGTATTCTACTCTTTGCTCTCTTCCCCAGATTTGTGGCTGAAACATACTTCGCTGTCTTTACAGTAATTCTGCCTCTCTTCCCGTCCCCTTTAGCAAATGATTGGCCAGACACTGGCTGTTTCATTCTATGTTATTCTTACTGCTGCTCCCAGAAATCCTCCAGTTCTGTGACTTCACCGCAACTGTTGGCTCATTTCACTTTTGCCCACAGAGTGCCCATGCTTTGGGCTGAACAAGGACATACATCCTAGTGCCGATGACACCATTTCCAGGAAAAAAGGCCTAGCACTTACTGAACCCCTTCTCTGTGGCAGGCACTACTTACCCAGGGCTGTATTTTGAGAATTTGCCCTCATCTTTCTCCCTTTGGCCAAACCAATCGCTCATACATAGACTCTGAGGAGGAATGTGGCAAGATAGGAAGCAAATCTCACCTGTAATTAATTCTGTCTGTTTTGGGGAGTGTTAAGACCAAAGCCCTTCGGGGAATTTGTAAGACTTTCAGAGAAATGAAAGCAGACATTCTGGATTTGATGCAGTCTCTTAGCTGGAATTGAAAGAGAGGATTCCTTGCACAGCAGAAGATGAGGACTCCAGGTCCTGGGGCGGAGGGGGCGGGGAGCGGTTGCTATAGCTTCACAGCAGCACTGCCCAGGGAGACAGCAATACCCCCAGGAAGAACCAGTGTAGTGTGGCGAGCAGACTGGGGGCAGCGTGGGAGCTCCCCTTGACTTACCACCAGAAAGCAGGCGTACCTTGGCACCGAAGCCTCAGGCTCCCAGGACAGTAGGCCTCTCAGAGGTGACCTCTGCGGACAGCTCGGTACACTGTCCTATCCTGGGGGCAGAGGGATGTCTCCCAAACCTCCTAGCTGCAGTGATGGGGTACTTGAAACAAAAACTTCGCTGGTTTATAGAAAGCATATTTTTACGCATCTAAGTGTGTGGATTGTGGACCAATCTCCACATAAATCTATCTCTATGTATCCCCCTCTACGTAGGCATATAGAGATACAGATCTGTCCATACAGCACGCTCGCTCGCTCTCGCTCTTGCTCTCTTCATAGGTATATCGTATTGATGCGTATCCAGGCATACCTTGGAGATAGTGCAGGTTGGGTTCCAGACTACTGCACTAAAGTGAGTATCACCATAAAGCAAGTCAAATGAAGTGCTGGGTTTCCCAGGGCATAGAAAAGATTTACGCTATGCTGTAGTCTGTTCGGTGTGCATTAGCATCATGTCTAAAAACACAATGGACATACCTTATTTTTAAAATATGCAGCTGGTAGGAGCACAGGGGGGT